TAATAAATTAATTAGCTAAATATACTCAATCATTAAAAAATTACCATATATAATTTAAATAAGTAAATATATGAACTCAACAGTTAATTTTTTAAAATATTGATGTTTTTAAATTAAAACTTCATAAAATTAGATTGATATATATTATTCTCAATTTATTATATATTTTGCTAAAAGTAAGGAGACACTTCCAATTAACTATTAGCTTAATTCTTCATAATTGCCACCATAATCAAAGGATAAGAAAACTAGATTGGAGATGTATAAAATAGATGCTAGAAGTTTTATCAAGACACTTCATTTAATTTAGAAAATAATAATTATTTTTAAACTTGAATATTCAAGAGATTTTAATTTATACAAATTAAAGTATGCAACAATTACTAGATGAAAATTTATTTAGGAAAATGAACATAAATTTCGTTGTAACTTCTTGAATTATGTAATTCATACGTGAGATGTAAGGCCGCCAAGCCTTACATATGAATTATGTAATTCATATGTAATTCATAAATTTAGATTTAGGTGTTGTGTGTTGTGTGTTGATGGGGTTCACTGAACCCAGATTTGGTGTTCAGGAAGGGAGAGAGAAAATGAAAGGACCTAGAGATTGAACTCTCAAACGTCTCCAGATCTGAACTCTTAAGTCTTTGATGAGGTAGGGATGAAAAAAAGAGCAATATGGTAAACTAGATCTAGGTTTTTACTTGCGTTCTGTAACTTTCAACAGCCATTAAGAATATAATTAAAAGAATAAAAGAAAAACAAGTTACTTTTAGAATATGTAATTTGCTGGGAGTATGTTGATTTGCCAATTTTTAGAGTAGGTGCCATGCTGCTGATTTTGGAGTATGACAAGATGAGAGGAAGAAAATGATGGCAAAATTGTTATTTCATCTGAGAGCAAAGTTATAATTTAGTTTAATTAGAAGGGCACAATTGTTATTTCATTTGACATGTCATCATTTTTTGCCACGTTGTATTAATGTGTTTTGATGTGTCATCGTTCTTCCGTCACATAACGTGCCAAGTCAGTGATTTTTAATGGAGGGACCAAATTGGGGTAAAAATGGTAAACAGTAGGGACCAAATCAGGGATTTTTTGAGTTGAGGGACTAAGCCGGGGGTCCGTACAATAGTTGAGGGACCAAAATGAGGGTTTAACCTAGATAAAATGATTAATTTTTTATTTAAAAATAATATAATTTTTTT